AAAGTCAATGATTACACCGTGACAGAACTTCAGTAAGGATAAAATATATGTTCATGAATATAATTATTTTCTTTACAAATTTTAGTGGAGTGTCTGCTGTGCACATTCTTCCAGGGCAATGAAATTAGGTCCTTAAGTTCGTGCGTTCCTGGGGCGGTGGGGTAGCCTAATGGTAAAAGCGTTGGCTCGTCACGCCGAAGACCCGGGTTCGAATCCCTACATGGGCACAATGTGTGAAGCCCATTTCTGGTGTCCCCCGCCGTGATGTTGCTGGAATATTGCTAAAAGCGGCGTAAAACCAAACTCAGTCAGTCAGTCGTGCGTTCCTATATATTGATAGGAAAATAGTCGTCTGCCGATCACGTCTGGATATACAAGCACATTCGACGGATGTTTTCATTACAAGACATCACAGATGGTCGTCAAAAGTTAGTGTACATGGACCGACGGTGTCGGCTCACGAAGTCGACCTTTGGATTATTTTCATTATCGCAGATTTTTTTTATCAGAAACATCGCGAAAAAGCATCATTCTTCAGACTGTATTTTTGCCACGTGTTCTCATGAACCATTAACATATGTGCAAATTTGCATGTTGCAAATGTACTGTGTACGTAAGTATTTGCAAACCTTTACACACATGTACAAATAATGTACTTTCAGGCTGATGTGTGAATCTGAAACCAACCAATGTATATATCATCTCCCCACGCTAATTGCCTTGCCTCGACTAAATATTCTTATTCACGAAATGGCTGAAATGCTGCTGATGTAACTTAAAATCTTAACTCACTCACTAAAAATTCTTATGACAGATGCGTCATTACATTTTTAGTGTTAATGCAACAAATATGCGTAAAAAAATATTTAAATCTAGATATATATACACAAACATTTACAAATGGGATTGCCTATACCTGTGATAAAATGTACTCATTCTGTGTAATAACCATGTTCACGCATAGCACGTTGACGTGTTCTTTCTTGAGTAGATGTATTCAAAGGAGTAACGGTATAGTTCAAGCTTTAGGGTTATAAGTACAGAAGAAACAGTTTGTTATATTGTAAAATGTACTTCAGCGAAGGTACGCGTTCATTAAAAGTTGACCGCCTCCGTGGTGTAGTGGTTAGAGCGTCCGCCCGGAGAGCGGAAGGTCGCGGGTTCGATCCCCGACCGCGTCATACCAAAAGACGTTAAAATATGGCACTTGTTGGTCCCTGCCTGGCGCTCGGCATTAATGGGTACAACAAGGACTGGCCGGATCGGAGTCAGTATAATGTGTCTGAGTGGGGTATCCATGCTTCACTGCGGTATGGTATCTCAGTGGGCTAGCACTGTAAAACCAGCTTCAGTCTGGGCTAGTACAAGCAGCTGCACATACACATACACATACACACGCATGCACGTCGTCATATGAGCGAAATATTCTCAAGCACGACGTTAAACCCAATTTCACCTCGCCTCATTTAAAGTTCATCTTGGTAAAACTGCACTCAGGGGGGTGACATGTTTTACCTTTGTCAACACAGATTCTTACGTTGCGTTTTACGCCGCGGGGGGACACCAGAAATATGCAAGTGGTTAAAGCGTTCGTTCTTTACGTTGGGGGTCTCTGCGTTTTTCTGCGTGTGATAACTATTGCTATTATGTCATTTCTTTTGTGTTATTTAAAGTATTTCCCAAACATTTTTCATTTAATTTCATCCTGGTTGGTATTTCATCCTGGTTGGTTGCCTTTATTGGATGGACAAGGCATCAGTCGTATTGCGAATGCAGCCTTACTGAAATAATTGTCGTTATGCATGGTAAACTGAACAGAACTCTTATCTTGTTAAATAAGACTGAAGTGTATTTTGTTTATTTGTGTTTTGTTTAACGCCGCACTCAGCAATATTCCAGCCATATGACGGCGATGTGTAAATAATCGAGTCTGGACCAGACACTCCAGTGATCAGCAGCATGAACAACATGTAATTGGGATACGATGACATGTGTCAACCAAGTCAGCGATCCTGACCAGGCGATCCCGTTAGTCGCCTCTTACGACAAGCGTTGGTTGCTGGGGAGCAATTCTAACCCGGACCTTCACAGGTGCGATAGCGATGGAACGCTGGAGACATGGACGTTGTTTTAGATGTGCGTTTCACGACAAACAAGAGATGTACAAAATACGTAATTTATTTTCCACCTTGATCATGACACTAATCTCAATCCATAGAGAATGAAAAGTGAAAACACGTTTTGCTCATTAATTATCAATCGCCATTTACTGCAGCAGAGCTTCGTCGCGAAGCAGGTAAATGTTGTATAATCTGGTGAAACAGATCAACGTTACATCCATGCGTTAAATATACCAGACAGTACCGCAATGTGTTGCACAACCGTTTCAACTGCTGTTGCCATGGTTACGACTTGAAGACGCACAATGCCATAAATCTAAACAATATCAAGCATGCTATCTTCACCAGAAACACTAAACCATTTTTTTCTCAAGTGTTTAATCCTGGCACATATGCGGCCATGGTTTTAAAGGCCTTTCACAAGACGTATTCACGTCCTTGGAGCAATGAGTTACATCGTTACAGTAGAAGTCGTGGTGATCCATGGCGTTGTAAGAATGGTAAGAATGGTAACAGTGGGTTCTGCTTCTGTTTTCGGATTAGCAACAACGACTACAACTACAGATAAGTCCAGTTAGTCCTAAACTGACTGACTGAGTTTGGTTTTACGCCGCTTTTAGCAATATTCCAGCAACATCACGGCGGGGGACACCAGAAATGGGCTTCACACATTGTACCCATGTGGGGATTCGATCCCTGGTCTTCGGCGTGACGAGCCAACGCTTTAACCATTAGGCTACCCCACCGCCCCAGTCCTAAACTCACGGGGCTTTTTTGGAATATTCACCTAAAATATCACTGTCCAGGATTCAGGGAGCGACCGTCTACAAAGGGGTTGGGTGACGAGGATTTTAATTTTGAGATATAATACTTTATACAGTCGCAGGCTTCCAGAAAAACAAAGGTTGTTTTCACCTGTTAAAATAATTAAATCAATTTGAGGTGTGAGTGAGTGAGTTTAGTTTCATGCCGATTTTAGCAACATTCCAGCAAATGGGCTTTACACATTGTACCCATGTGGGGAATCGAACCCGGGTTTTCAGCGTGACGAGCAAACGCTTTCACCACTAGGCTACCCCACGGCCCCACCTTAACATCGACTTACGACTGTCGTAGTGCTGAAGTTGTTTTGTAAAACGGCACCCAGGTAAATTCCAGATTCCTAGCATACACTACTGTGTCGTACATACACGTGCGTCACGATCCAGGTTACTGGTTCGGACATATAGTCATGCCAATAATGATTGCCCCCCCCCCCCTCCCTCTCTCAAATAAAAAAATTTGAAGGGGGTGACAACCATTATTGGCATGAGTATATATGAAAATATACGAGATAGAATTGAATAAGGTTTCAGTAACCCATGCTTGTCGTAAGAAGCGACTAACGGGATCAGGTGGTTAGGCTCACTGACGTATTTGACATATGTCATCGGTTCCCATTCGTGAAGATTGATGCTCATGCTGTCACCACCATGCTACCCAACCGCCTGAATTGTACCTACATGTCTGTGCGACTGCATGACCTTGAAGTACGCCTTACCGCTTCGAAGGTTTAAGGGGCGGTGGGGTAGTCTAGTGGTTAAAGCGTTGGCTCGTCACGCCGAAGACCCGGGTTCGAATCCCCACATGGGTACAATGAGTGAAGCCCATTTCTGCAGTCCCCCCGCCGTGATGTCGCTGGAATATTGCTAAAAGCGGCGTAAAACCAAACTCAGTCAGTCAGTCGAAGGTTTGATTCCCAGCAAGGATACAATCTACCAGGGATAATCTACGTTATATAGTCTTCCTGAATCTATGAATCCAGTTCTTAGTGCCCCTCGTGCTATTGCTGGAAGCGGCGGATAACCTTGATTGCTCCCTCGCTCTTCTAATCAGGCAAACAGTTATACACTGCAGGTCGCGTAATTTCTAATGACCATCGATAGGCCTTGACCTGTCAGAGTCTTGTGTCACGCCGCACCCTGTGACATCCCTGCTCTATTGCGTGTTAAAACATTTTAGGTTGTTTGCTTAATAATGATCTCAGAGATTACTATCAGCCGCAAAAGACAAAATGATCCTGTTATATTTATACCGAAGTCATACTGATAAACATCAGTCAGTAACATGCCAGCTATATGACGATAGATATCCACGTCCCAAACAATTATGTTTACCCATTTGATTTAAAATATTTACACTGACATGTTTCAAAATAAAGTATACCGTTTTGCCACTGTACACTTCATAATCTGATTGAATATCATTGAGTACATATCACAAAATTCACGTCCAAGTACTATACAATATACATTCGACCGACTCCTCGCCACACGCCGGTTTTGACAGCTTCCACTGTAATTCAGAACTGTTCAGTATTTAACCTACATACTGGTAGCCATCTGAAGGCAAAGTCACAAAGTTAATATTGTAACACGCAATTCCAATGAATGAGTTTTGTCGTTAGCTAATATGATTAAAAAGATGACACTTGAGATAATGTTTCCATTCACATGTTTAATTTCCTTGTTCCAGAGGCAAGATAGTAATCGATATTTGAAGCAGAATCAGGCTGAATTAGTCGCCTCCAGCACGTATAACATCAACTACTTCAAGCCTTTACCATGAAAGCAAATGCCAGCAAATTGCGCCGCCCTGTTTTCCAGCGTACGTGCATATTCCGCATTGATGTTGTCTAGGTTATAAGTGTGTTTTGGGTTTTTCTCTCGTTATATTTCAAATTTGAACGAAATCGGTGAAGAAATGGATTTTTTAGAAAATTCTCCCGCTACACTCATTACATATTATATATTTCAAATTTGAACGAAATCGGTGAAGAAATGGATTTTTTAGAAATATAAGTTACTCATAATATATAAACACAATATACGGTTGCAAAAATCTAGATTTTTATTTTAAAAAATTATTGTCCAAACAGTGATTCGAACCCCTGTGGATTGAATAATATCTGAGGGCGGTAGGCAGCCTCGTGGTTGTTGCGGTCGCTCGTCAGGTCGAAGACCTGGGTTGGTTCCTAGTTTCCATGGTTGCTATACGTTAAGCATCTTTACTGATTCCACGCCGTGATGTTATCAAAATATAACTCTATTCACCCATTTCTAAAAGTATCTGATGATATTAGCGGACTGGATCCCTGTAATCTAGTTGAGATAAAGCTTTCATTTTGCGATATATCCCTGGTCTTGTAACAAAAGCTACAGTCTTTACAGAATAAGTTACACACAAGTACACCTGTTCTCTTCCCGACCGGACGGAGAGGTAGCCTAGTAGCTAAAGCGTTCTCTCCTCACGCCATGGACCCGGGTTTGATTCCCCACATGGTTACAATGTGTGATGTCCATTTATGGTGTCCCCGCTGTGATATTGCTGGAATATTGCTAAAAGCGGCGTAAAATTAAATACACTCACTTACTCACTCTTCTAGAGCCCCAAATAACAATCTTTCTACAACATCACCTACCTCAGCGAATTAATGGAATGCCATCTCTGAAACTTTCATAAATCCTGTTTTGTTTGGGATCGCAATGATGTTTTGTGATAACGCCAATTAAATATACCAGCCAATCGTCCTCAACAATGGACAAGCAGGTAATGATGTTACTAACATATTGCCATACCCTTTTTCAGACATATCAGTTCGTGTACATTTTGAAATATAATCTTGGAACATCTTGTAATATAGCCAGTGGTAATAATTTAAACGAATGATAGCAAGTTCATCACATCAACATCAAATCTTGGCTCCACAAGCTGGCTGACGAGAATGGTATCTTTGTGTCTTATATACTGTCGTGCATAAGAAACTACACAGGCATTACTGATGGTTGCTAAAAATGAAACAATTAAGAAGCTGTTATCTGAGCAGTCGCGTAGCAAGCCCGACAGGTTACAAAGCTTCATATCTAGATATTACTGAGGGCTTGCCCAGCCTTTTTAGCAACAACTCACGTGTAAGCCCGGGCTTTTTCTATAATGGTAGCTACGCCCTTGTTGAGGGGACGTTTTTATACAGTATTATATTGCGTTTGAGACCTTAAGTCTGCATTGTTGGCCCTATATTAACTGTTTATGACACTTGCTTGATAACGGTATTATCATCTACACCAAGACGCCGCTTACATTAATAATAAAGAAGTTGTATATCCATAGAACCTTCCCCGTTGTTCATCACACCAACTTCTTAATACCACTCAAAGAAATTGACGGTTTTGATAAGGTTTGAAATTTTGGTCAAATTACATTTTCATATGTTTATATCTTTCGCCCGGGAGTAATGTACACTGTAGTTCTTCGTCAGTTCAGGTGTGTTTCAGTGAATCAGCCCACAGATACAAACCAACAATAAAGTCTAACACATATATGCAGCAAATCATTGTAAATGTTGAACATTTTAACACCCAATCTGAAACCTATATTATTTATGTCATTATTGGCAATTAACACTCAGTTCCGAATTTCCTGGAGAAGAATCCGGTTCCGGTTTAAGAACAATTTCAACATGTTTGGATAAACCGGTTCCATTTCCAGTTTGGTGGTTTTCCGTTTGTTCTGCCATATTAAAAGAGGACTTGGACGTAAAGAAGTCACTGTTCGAGAACCGGTTCGGGCAGATTCCAGTGTCTTTCCGGGTAGTGTTCAATGGATTATAACAACGATCTTGCGTTCCACTGCTCGTTTGCTTCTGTTGGTAGAGAGCATAGACTTTTGGAATAAACAGACACAATAAGCACACTGAACTGTTTACAATCAACGCTATTGATAGTATGATGACTTTGTAATACGCCAGAGATGTGGTGAAATACGTTGGAACGAAGGAAATCCACACCAAAAGAGTTGTATCCACACAAAACGCGATGTAACGGGACTCGTTGTAGTTGTCCGGAAGTCGCCTCGTTTTGAAGGCGTAAAATACACAGATGATAACCAGAACGAGGTTGAAGGACAGGGATGATAGTAGACCCACCAACGGCATGTCGCAATATAGTTCCACAAGTTTCTCTGTTCTCACAGGCATACTCTTTGTAACACGTGGAGGCGCAAAACTCGTCGAGACGGTCACCAAGATTACCTGAAATGAGAACATGCGTAATTAATACCATGTGTCAGATTAGTGTGGCGGGACTATAAAGAACAATCTTTGGAACAAGGTTTCGAGGACAAATTGACGGGGGTATAGGACAGAGAGAATGTTCATGTCTCATGTCTCATGTCATCAATGGCACTGATTGAGAATCTTCACGAGAGACAAGTAGATTCAGTATCTTCACGAGAGACAAGGAGATTCAGTATCTTCACGAAAGACGAGTCTGGTTTAGAATCTTCACGACAGACGAGTCAGAATCTGTCTTTAAGATATGGGATATTGGACATTTCCCCAGTTAAATAGTTCCCAATAGTTGTGTATATTACAACGATACAACGGTGACAAGTCTGTGGATAATTACTGTGCTATTTTGTAACGATTTTCAACTATCAAAAGGGTATATTTCGTCTTACTCCGTCTTAGTGATTAGATCCTATGTAGGAATGAATTTAACCTGAAGGAAATGTTTTATCCTGAAAGGGCAGTAATTTGATCCTGATTGATCCTGAGTGATCCTGAGTGATCCTGAGATTTATCCGGAGGGGACTGATTGATCCTGAGATTTATCCGGAGGGGACTGATTGTATCCTGAAGTGAGTGATTTGATTCTATTGGGAGAGGGTGGGGATGGTTATATCCTGATGTGAGTGATTTGATCCCTATCTAGTGTGTCACTCCTGGGACATAATCACACTTATTGTAATTAAAATGTGAAGTTGTATTTGATTATGTAGCACCAATTCCTGCCACATTGTGTAAACTGTGGCTGGGTAATTTTGTTAGTTCAAGACAACTGGAGTAAGAAAAGACATGCTACCACCTGGCCCTTATCATGTTTGAAATGTACATTTGTGCCAAAAAACACACTTCTTTAGTAGTCTAAGTATGTAGATAGTATGTCTAACATGCTTATCAACTGATGTGCAATATGCATTTTTTATCATGTTTATATTATATTTTATAAGGTTATATTTCTGAAAATATATCCACGCAGAAGCACTGGGTGCTGACTTGGCACTGTGCGGATAGAGTGAGTGAGTGATAGTGTTGGGAATTGGTTTAAATCTCATAATTGATGATTGGTTCATTACAACCGATCAATCATCGAAAATAATTGGTTAGCGTCATTTATTAAAGTTTTCTGGTTATGTTTGTTAATGCACAAAAATAAAGAAAAAACATGTAGTTCTTTCGTTTTTTCGCAAATTGCACAAAATGCATTTGCAAATTTCACATCTTTAAAGGATGACTAGCATGTTAGGAACATGAAGTTCACGGAGTCTTTAAAATAAATTCAATCATGAATTGGAAGAGCTTGTAGTGCTAATGAAATGTAACAGACAAAACCAACCTTGTGAAAAATATCGTTATTGCAAACAAGTGTTCCAAAATTGTTTGTGTTCGATTATGCGCTAGTGAGTGAGTTTGGTTTTACGCTGCTCTGATTTGATTATTCCAACAATACCACGGCGGGGGACACCAGAAATGGGCTTCACACATTATACCCATATGTGGGAAATCGAACCTAGGTGTTTGGGGCGACGAGCGAACGCTTTAACCCCTAGGCTGTTCACCGCCCTGTGCAATAAGTAACATAGTGGTGAAAACCCTGGGGTAGGACCACAGGAAATCATTGACACAAGGTGTTTCCGAAAAGGATATTGAGATGAAAGATTAGCTTGGGAACAGAGAAAGGATTCAACTAAGCTTCACTATATTTATATTACATGAACGCCTTCAGACAGTAACATGACATACTGACTGTAAAAACTAATCTGAGAACAGTAAACAGATAGAACCATGCAACAACAGCCGTATAACATTCGGGCTACAGATAGCCAGCAACCAATCCTAACCATCACGTTATTTACTGGCGTTTAGCCCCAGAAATATAATTATCTTATTAAAAATATGTAAAATATATATTTAGAAAGCAAATCCAAATGGGGACAAGAACAAACCTTAATTTCTGAAACTGAGGCACGGTAGACGTGTTGAGTTATTGTATGCTTGAGTAGGACCCCTATATAATGAATTCCCAAGGGAAACAGACTGGAGCGAGGGTGACAAGTTGGGCTGGTACCCAAACTCCGATATACTGCTATTAAAACGTTGGTGAGTATCAACGCAATTGTTGTTTTATTACATACTTTCTCAGAGGTACAATAATGTCAACAACGGTGCCTTTGTCTACTGAATCTTTAGGAAACCTCTTCAGAGATCAATATCGATACGACCTCTCTCTCATGATAATCAATGACATCTTACATCTCTACAGCGTTTCCCGTTATTGACACCCTAAATCAATTGCTATGCATTAAGAGCCTAATGTGTTCTAAGATGGTCGCTTCCTTTAACACGCCTTTTGTTTCACAGCGTCAATACGCAGGAACATTGTTCTACAGTTGTATATAAGGAGCACGTGGTGTTGCCAGGATACCAACCACGTGGGTGAAGAAGTATATGCTTGTTCTCTTTTAACCAAATTATTTTACTTTAAACTATCGCGTCTCACGGGGAGGAAAATTATCTCTTATGTCAAGCCAAGATTTTTTGTTGAATTAAATTTATAGCGAGTTCTCAGAAGCTGGAGGAATTCATTCCTTTGCTTTGATTTTTTAACTTAACAAAACTTCAACTTGATAATTGACGATTATCACACGAGGCGCTGTCTTGTGTCTTATAAATGTTGAACGCGTGTGGTCTACTTTATGTCGGTTTAAATCATCGTGTACCTCCTCCTGTAGAATCACTGTCCGCCATGACTATTTCGAGATGTTGATCACTGGATTGTCTGGTCCAGACTCGATTATATACCGCCGTGATATAGCTGGAAAACTAACTTCACTCACACGACACACGAGTGGTGCTCGATAGACCAATCGTCCATGATTATGTTTACATTAAGTTTTAATCGATTGTATGCGATGATAGCGTAGCGATCGGCAAAGCAGTCGGATGGGGTGCACCGAAGTGTCCGTCCTTGTCATAATGCATTATACTGTGAAGCATTTCGAGTCGGGGGGTCATCTCACATTTTTGTATATATTTTATAAAATCATTAATCCTCGCAAAGACACGAGGGCCTGTGGTCACACGTCCACTGTGAAACATTACACTGACGTAGAAAAGAAAGTACACACTTAATCTCCTTTCGATCATTTTCCCCAAAACAACGTAAATATTTTGAAACTTGTTTTGATTAAGACTTACAAGGGACATTTATTCTGCACATATTACCACAGATATCGTGCCCAGTTGCGATGTTTCTAGCGCCTCACGTTGCTAGCCAAACGTTGACGATTCAGTCGATGTTGACGGGTTTATGAAATGGCTCCTTTCAACAGAAGTGTCTTACGTTTGTGAAAAAGTTTTGTTCCTTCTGACATTCTAGACATTCAGGTCCTGTTTTATTTAGACACAGATCTCACATGCGGAAACATTTCTGACGGGTGACGGGTGGCAGATGCCGCCGGTTGGGCAAGGACTAGCTGTCACCTTTCGCCATCAACTGATATTTCTTTACTTATCATTAAAAATACCGCTTTTTTCATAGCATGTCGCAACAAATGGAAATCACACGTCTTTAGTTCAACAAAGATAAACAAAAATAGATTTTGTTTCTCGATAAACATCTTGTTCTAGAAATAATTAGCCATTAAGAGTTCAGTCACAAAAACATTCTGCAAGGAACGATCTGAGCTGAAGGGAACATAACCAGCGGCAACACTCGGATGTCTGTTGTTAATGAGAGGGACTTAAAGAACTCATCTGCTGTTTTAGATCAGGAAAATGTTTTCGTATTGTTAAAAAAAAGGAAATCCAGTCTCTCGTTAGCGTAACCAAGAATAGATTCACAGAAATGAAAGGGAAATGATGTACAATTTATTTTCTTTCGACTGATAATGCTGTAGCAAAGCTTTTCACACACAAATGCGACTTATGTGATCGAAATGTCTGTGACCATAGTGAAGCTGGACCTACGTTACCACACTATCGCGACAGAGATGACCACAAACACGTGACCACCAAGACCAGCACCAGCAGGAAGGCACACTCACACGCACACTCACACGCACACGCACACGCACACGCACACTCACACGCATGCGCACACGTACACGAGTGTTATTATGCATGTCGTGAGTGTTGATACTTTACGTTGGGCCATAAATAATGATAATGATGATGATAAAAATCTTAAATATGTAAACATGTGGGGCATCGAACCCGGGTCTTCGGCGTGACGAGCGAACCCTTTAACTACCAGACTACCCCAGCGCCCCGTGGCCACCAAGACCAGCACCAAGAGGAAGACACACGCACGCGTACACCGTGTTATTATGCATGTCGTGAGTGCTGATGCTTCACGTTGGGCCATAAATAATGATAATTATGACGATAAAACTCTTAATCTATAAATAATGAGAGGACGTTGAGTCATTAACATGGAGGCTCGTGACAGAATGTTTTTGCGCACTTTTGCACACATTCATTGGCTGACGAGTCTGATTCTCTAATGAAACATGTCGAGACTCATGGTGAAAACGAGACATTCCACAAATGTTTAAAGAGTGAGTAAGTGAGTATGGTTTTACGCCGCTTTTAGTAATATTCCAGCAATTATCAAGGCGGGGGGCACTAGAAATGGGCTTCACACATTGTACCCACATGGGGAATCGAACCAGGGCCATCGACGGTATGAGCGGACGCTATAACCACCAGGCTACCCCACTGCCCCAGATGTTTTAAGAAGAGTCAAAGATACTGGATACCCCCCCTTTTGTGAAAATGAAGAGTGTGCACATCTCCCCACCCCCACACCACACATTCCTTCTCAATAGTGTGCACCCTCTCTTTCTCAAAAAGCTGCATCCGACCCTGATATCCCTAGTGTGGAAGGTAGGGATGTACATGACAGTGACTCTGTAGGTAACAACGACCACGACTTCCACTGCAAACCTCACTTTCACAGAATATGCTTT